AATTACCTTGTGAATGGTGACAAAAGTTAACTTTGGTAACCAAAGAGTTAAAACTTTGTGTTGTGAGAAAAAAAGTGAGATATCAAATTCCCTCTGCCCGACTTGCAACACCCCTAATATAACTGGTCTGGCATGTGGAAATAGCTATTGTCTGAGTTATGACTTCATCAAATCTTGTGCATAACGCTTAGTAGGAGTTTCCATAAAGTGCTTGTAGACAAATATGAGTAGTGACAAAAATATCCAATAGCGTTTTTTTTTATCTATTGTTACTGGTAATAGTAAAATCATTAATGGATTTTTTTAGATAGCCTCAAGTCATTTTTATTGAAATCATGCAATCTTTAATATCCAAAATATTGCTTTTTGTTTTTGATGATACACCATTTTGAATTTTTGAAGTTTTCTCAGAGAGTTTGATTAGATCATATACCAATTGCTGGGCTCAGTTGAACAATTTCAATTTTTGAATATCTATCATCAAAAAATTCCGTCTTGTTAATTCGTCTGTAGTTGAATGTTTTGGGCCAGTACAACTTAGTGGTAAGCATTATTGCTTTTTAAAGCTAATTTCAAATGTACATGATGAACTTTTTCAAGGTGGCAACGATTTATTCACCTCCCGTTTACTTGTAAGAAAACAGATTACGTTTAAATCGATGATAGAGGAACTGTGCCAAATACACTTTGAATTCACTTTCCACATTATGTTCAGATGTGCATGGAATATATATGTGAGTTTACCATTCTCAAATTTGTTTTAGTCCCAGAGCTTTGTCTGCTCGACCAAAAGACAAAATTGATGCAAAAAGGTTTTGGGTCATATGAAAAGATCATAGTTTACCTGAATTACTGAATTTATTGATGGATGTTTTACTGTACGGCCAACATTTTCATAGAACACACAAAGAGTCTGACTCAAATTCTACAATCTGACTGACAATTTGACTCCAAAATAATAACGCTTATGCCAACCAGTCTGACTTATTTCAGTCATTAACGAAACACACAATACACAAAAACAGATGATTTTGTTAAACGACATAAACATAACATCACATACATACCTGGCGGTTGTTGCTTTGGTGTATTTTTAGGTGTAGTCTGGGTGCAGTGGTCTATTAATACTGCTGGATTCGGAGGCGGTGGTATGGGTGGTACATCTACTAACTCGCTGTGACCATTTGCACCATTATCGAGATCACCTACTGATATTTAAAAAGAAAAAGTCAAAAAATTTGATTCAAAAGCTAGAATACACTTCTACTAAAGGACATACAATATTAAAACTATGGTCCATGTATTGCTGTTCACACCACGGTCAATGTTTTTTACGCATGTTATATAGGCTCCATATCAAACATGTATGACGGAGGTGTTTCAACCTTTCAACTTTAATTCAATGTGTAGTTGTTTTTGTTGGCAAGCTTTTTCCAATTTCTATGACCAGTATTAGCACCAAAATAACTTGTGGGGGTGATAGTATGATTAAAACTAAGCAAGGAGTTGATTTTAGTAATGAAGCCGAGCATGCAAGGAAGTTTATTCCCATAATGCATCACACCAAAATTTACTATTTTGTTGAACCAAAACAATGACGTCATCGGTTCCACCCAATTAGCATGCATGATGATGTCATACATCTTTTGCCAAGATCACAGTGAGTACACATAGCATTTGTAGAATATACGTAACATACTCGTTTCAAGATACAAGTGAACTAACCAGACGAAGCACATTAATCCAGAAACATTTCCTATATTACTTACTATGCACTGTACATTCTCTGTACCGCAATTCAGATTAAGTAAACATCCTTGTAAAACGTGCTGATCATACAAGTCACCAAATTTATCGCTAGTAGACAGTATTAACAATCGGACAGAGTACGTACACAACACTGTCGTGGAATTAACCACCAAAATGAAGGCAGCATCGAAGTGATCCGTATAATGGAATGAAAAGCAGCAATGATCAACAAGACAAGGTCAACACATTCATGCACTGATACCAGGCATTACTGTGCTTTACTGGTTGTCCTTTTCATTGTTAAAATACTGCTCTCACTGAATAAAGACCGGAAACAGTCTTTGTACTAAAGGTACATTGTTTGTTTTCCACGCTACAGTCTCCTTATATGTACAGTTTGTTTTCATTACAGAACATATGAACTATGACCTCATGATGGGAAATACACCTCACCGGAACCCTACCCAGCAATGCTGGTCTCAAAGGTTATCTAGGGAAGAAAGGTCAGCCTTGTTCAACTTAAATTAAAAATTCAGACATTTATTCTATTTTTGGTTTCAAGTTTGAAAGTTTTGCCAAAAGTATATATTTTTCAAAAAAAAACTTGTTGATTGTGGGACAGCAGTCTAACGAAACAGACAATTTCCAGAATCACTTTTTGTATTAAAAATATCCAGATGTAATGACAATTTACCACAGTATCTGACGCCATTATTACCGAAGTAAATTTCTTGATAATTTTAAATCAATAATTTACTGACTATATTAATCACCCAG